GTAAGTAGTTTGTCCACAAGTTCTATAGTTATTTGACCTTTTACGTTTGTTGGGGCAGTTAATAAGTACATGTTCAAATTTGTTGCAATAATAATATTGATTTCTGGGGTAATTCTTGTATTGGTGGTTAGCTTGGCCACAGGTTTTGCAAGGTGGTTTTCTTTGTCGAGGTTGGTCGGTAGTCCATCCTTGGTCTTCATCTTCTGAGGATGCAGAAAATGCATAAGCTTCATGGGGTGTTAGATATTCCTGCTCATATAATTCAAAGTCTTTAGCAATAGTACAGGTTAGTTTTTTTTCTTTAGGTTTTTCTTGCTCATAAGAAATATCAAGAACAATCTTCTTTCCTTTTCAATAGAGAGTATATTGGTATGTTTTCTAGTTATAATTGGCTTCTACTTTCTTTGACCAATCATTTCTAAGTAGAATAGAATAAGAGGTAGCAGGTACAACTTCTATATCTAAGGGAATATATCGATCTTGGATCCTAATAGGTAAATTTCTAATAATTCCAAGGGGTTTAGAGGTGGTGCTAATAGCAGCAACAATAAGGCTTTTTGATGGTTCCTTAATCTTAAGACCTAGTTCCTTTATAGTTTGGTGTGAGATCATACTGACAGAGGCTCTACTATCTATAATGGCAGGGTAAGTATGGTCTTGGATATTAATATAACATTTAACATGAGTAATAGTGCTAATGGGTTAAGGTTTGGTATTTTCTCTATTGATTTCAGTGATGTAGATAGTTAGAGCAGTTCTAATAGAGTAGTTGTCTAATAATCTTTCTCAATTGTTAGAGTTAGAGGCAGGTTGCTTTCAGCCATGTTAATATTTTGGTAGTAAGATGATGGTGAGTGATTAGACCTGGGTCTCCATCTTTCTTGACTTTGGTCTCTAAATCTGTTTCTGTAATCTCTGTCTCTAGATTGGCTTCTATCTCTATAATTTCTATTGTGAGATTGACTTCTATCTCTGTTTCTTCTATTATTGTTATTATTGTAATAGTTATTATTATTCCTTCTATTATTATTATTGTTAGTACTTCTTTTATTAGTTTTGTTTTTTTGATTATCATTATGTCTTTTTCTACAGTTAGCAATAAAATGTTCTGGATTTCTGCAATAATAGCAAAGAGCTCTATCCTGGTTAAAATTGTTTTGGTAAGAGAAACCAGATTCTCTTTCAGCAGTATAAGCAGGTCTTGGTTGAGATTCTGGTTGTTGTTAGACCATGTTAATAGCCAATTTGTCAAAACGGCTAGTAATATTGCTAATGATATTTATTACTGGGTCTTCTGCCAAAGCTATTAACCTTCTAGTTTCTCATTATTTAGCAGTAGTAATAGCAGCATTTAAGTTTTCTAGTAATGATGTTTGAACAGGAATAGCATATTCAGATCGCAATCCTTTAATAAAAAGTTGAACAATAAAAGAATCAGAGAAAGCATGTTCTGGGTCTAGGTTCACTTTCTTTTGTAGTTTCTTAAACTGGGCAGCATAGGTATCTACAGTATTTGTTTCTTATTTTAAGTCGAAAAATTCCTGTTGCCACATAGCTTGCTTCTTGGTAGTCATAAATTGCTCCAAGAATTTTACTTTGAATCAATTATCATCATCACCGGTATTATATTGTTGGATTTTTTCTCCTGTTCTCCTTAACCAATCTTCTGCATTGTCAAGCATGTAGGCTTTAGCAATAGCAAGTTTTTTGTCTTCATTCTAGTTATTAGCAGTAGCAGCTTGTTCAAATTCATTGATCCAATCGATAAGATCCTCAGTACTATCTTCTCTAAATGGTTTAATCTTGATAAGAGATTTTTCTGCTTCTTCTCCTCTTCTAATAGCTTTACCTAACCGGGTTATTGCTTGAGCAGCTTGTTCCATATCACCCATATTTTCTTCTCTTTCTTCTAAACTATTTGAGTTTATTATTTGCTTGTAGTCTGTTTGTTTGAATAAAGATAAGGGACTTTGTTCAAATAAGTTTTCTGACTCTGGTCATTCAAATAGTCTAAGTCCTCTTGAGAAAGATAATTATAGATAGTAGTAGTTTTAGAGAGTTGAGGATAAAGTGGAGAATAAGTAGAAGTTGAACTAGAGATATCTAAAAGATCTGGGTAAAGGTGTTCTGGTGGTGGACTAGGGTTTTAATTTGAGGGTAAAGAGATTGATAGTTTTGCTCAAATAAATAAGTGGTTGTAGTAATTTCTTTGTCTACAGTATATACTGGTGATAGAGTAGTTTCTTCTATAGGTAAGGCTTCAGTATTAATAGATTGAGTATCTTTTTGTTGGGTTCCAGAAGTAGAAGAAGATCTAGTTCGTTGAGGACTAAGAAAGGTTATAGTTTTAAAAAATTTTTGAATAAGTCAAGGTTGTGGAGTAGATGATAGAGTTGCTCTTTCTAAATTGCTTTCAGAGTTATCAGATAGAGTTAAAGATTCTGCTTATCTCTCTAGTTGAGTAATAGGAGTAGAAGTTGAAGTAGAAGCAACAACAGGCTCTCCTATATTAATAACAGTATTAGGAGAAGGTGGAGGTAAAACAGGAGTAGTAATTTCTTCTAATGTTTGTTGTTTTTTATTCTGATATAATGTTTGAATATAAGATTGAATAGCAATAGGATTATCAATAAAAATATCATAGTGGTTGATATAAGTATTGGAGGCTTTGCAAAGGTTATAATAAGAGATATATTTTTGAAAAAGAAGTTGGGCAGTTTGTCGAGATGCAGGTACTGCTCTCTAATATTGGCAACTAAAGATAATATTTTGAACAAGTATATGAGCTGTTGTTCGATCTGCAGTAGCTAGTTTTTGAAAATTAGAATAAGTAGCTAGGCTATATGTTGTAGCATTATAGGCTTGAGAATACCAATTTCAAAATTTACCAAAATGTTTGTGAGGAGCAAGTGATATAGGATAACACTAAGTACAAGTTAGATCAGATATGATAGATTGAATAACAGTAATAGCAAGTGAGAAGTTACTGATATGAGCTTGTCTGTGTTTTTGGATATTATCTGAATGATAACAAGTTAACAAATCTCTCATAAAATTAAAATATCTTTAAAGAAGATTAGTAATAACAAAATAATAAAATGATAAGAAAGTTAAATGAAATAAATAAATGAAATAAAATAAATCAAAAGAGTTGCTAGTAAACAAAGTAAAAAAAAAGAAGATTCACAAATAAAATAAAATAAAATAACTCAAGTAAGAATAACAAAATTTCAAAATTTTAAACAAAATATATGTATGGCCAGCAAGAAAGTTAGTAGCAGTAGGAGGTGAAAGCATAAACTTCATGACAATACAATTCCAAAATACAATTTAATAAAATATAATACTAGTTAAGTTAGTAGAGGGTATACCAAAAATAATAATTCCTAGGATGCTTTTTCAATAGCTTCTGCTGTTTCAAGAGAGTTAAAATAATTTTTGCAAGAAAGTTTCCTTTTAAAGAAAAGGTGAAAGAGAGGTTTGCTTCCAAGAGAGAGTAAATTTGTTCCTCACAAAATTTTATATTTCCGTCAAGAGGTACCAAAATATTACAAGGCTGTAGCTTTCTTAGTAAAATACAACCAAGTAACAAGGTTACCCAGTATAGTGATTGACTATTGCAAATATATATGGGGTGGAGGTGTAGTTGTTCACTTAACTACACAGCAGCAGGCAAATAGTTCGAGATAGTAACAGTATATAGATAACTTTATTTAATACAAAAATGGTGATAAGCCTTGCCTGTAGGAATTACCCTAGAGAGGGAATATCATACTTTACAAGATAAGAAGTATTAAAGATTATCAAAGTCTAATTGAAGTGTAGAAACTTAAGATCTGGCAAGAAGGAAAAAAGACACTCTTTATATATCTTTTCTATCCAAAGCAAAGGTATACAACATATAGTAAAGAAGTAACACTTAGCAGGGGAAGTTGGGGGATCGTGTTAGAGAGAGTTGGGGGATTGTGTTGAGGGAAGTTGGGAGAATATAAATATTACTCATTTTGTTTATATTTTATTTATTGTTTGTGAGGGGGAGCTTAAGGAGGGGAATCTGAGGATTTTGCAATACAGTATTAGATTTGCGATATGATAACTTGTGTTCGAAATATTTAAGTTCATATAGAAGAATCTGAGGATTTCATGTAGAGGAACTTGGGAAAAATTATGTTACTTTCTTGTATTATCTTTTTGTATAATCTAAAGCACTCCTTTGTATAACTTTGTATTATCTCAGGTCACATAAGTCATGTGACTACACCATATATTTTTTAGCTAATCAAATCATTCCTATACAATGACTATAAAATTACTATCTAATATATATAATAATATAATATAATAATATAATATACTAATAATATACTAAATATAACTGATAATAAACTACTAAATAATACATTTATAATGAATAATACTAAGTAAATAAAGACTAAAATTTCTATACTAAAATGC